AAAACACTCCTGCTGTAAAACATCCACCTTTCAGGCATCGTTTTTTAATAGAATAGTAAAGCCTTGGGACTATATATGTAAAATAGCCTCTCCTGAAAAGTTTGCCAATGTAAATATTTTTAAAAGCTTTTTGCACAAGACATACACCGCCTTGGTGAACAGTACTTTTAATGTAGATATGACATGTACTTGGTCGCTCATAAGAGACTGCCCTTGTCACCGTACTTAAGTCCTAAGTTATATATGTATATTCTGTATAGTAAATAAGTTTGTTTTCACTAGTTTAGTTTAGGGGTGGCGCCCTGCATGGGTCTCGTTGTCCCGTTTGCGCTAGCCCCATTGGACGTATACCCTGTAGTCTTTGTTTGTATAATAATATGTAACCTTTTATATGTATGTCCAATAAAGCTGTTAAAAAAAAAAAAAAAAAAAAAAAAAGAAAAAAAAAAAAGAAAAAAAAGAAAAGATGACTATTGTATTACAAAACTATTCGGCAACAGGAAAATAAAACGCTGATAGGGTGGGTTGTAATTTTTCAGCAATAATTTAAGGGTGGGCTACACGTTTTTACACGCAGCTATTAAGGGGTGGGCTACAAAAAATGCGGACACCATATACACGATTTTTCCAATCCCCCCCCCCTTTACTTTATGACAAATCTCTAATTATAGTGTAACATTCAACAGCAGGTTGACTGGTTGACCTTGCGTGTGACCTCAAACAAAATTTACTACATGGAAATTGTCAACATAATAATTGTGACATTGTTTTGATAGACTATAATATAAATTCATTTAATAAATAGTACTTTTAATATAATAATTGATGTTTTTATACTCAATACCATGAATACAGTCGATGTGCGTGTTCTGGACGAGCAACGAAAACAAATATCATTTTTACGAACGATCGACGAGAAAATTAGCCTTGTAAGGTTACGGGAATTAATTAACACAATGTCTAAAACCGCCTCTTATGATTTTATTTACAAGAATGTGCCTATTTCAACAAAGCAAGAGAGTATTGTTCGGTTGATGGAAGTTGCAAGCAGATCAGAAAGTAACAAACTTGAACTTGAAATTTATATCCGATTTAGATTAAAGCGGCCAATTTCACCTAAAATTGAAATGACTACGGACACAAGAAAACAACGATCGTGACTAAAACACCACATGAGTACATACGAGTAACATACGAGTAACACACAGGTACATACGAGTACATACGAGTAACATACGAGTAACATACGAGTAACACAGGAGTACATACGAGTAAAACACAAGTACATACGAGTAGAATACGAGTAAAATACGACTAGTAAACTTGTTTTTAGTGTTTGTAGATTGAATACAGGAAAAAAGATCGTCTTCTCTGTCGAAAAACGTGAAATAGACTGAAACCGGCTATCTTTAAAACCCGGAACGGGGAATGGGGGGACGGGGAATGGGAGAACGGGAAGTGGGGGAACGGAGGGAATGGAGGGGCGAGGGAGAAAATAGGAGACAGGGGGCGGGGGAGGTCTGCCAGATTCTATAAACCACAACTTTGTAGTTTGTACAACATCTACTTTTAGGTATTCTACCTAGATAGTTAGATACATGACACAAACCATAGGCTTCACATATTTCACGGCATGGTTTGCTTTCAAAACCCTGTGAGCATGCACAAAACCTAACTCACTAACTGCATCTACTTAAAATAGTACTAGGTGATAAACTTACTATCCTCACATAGCCTCAATCACAACATGTGGCTAGGCAAATATACGAACTACACAGTTAACTTATACCGTGACGACATACGACAGTTCCTAGATCGAAATACAGGACAACAGGGCCTTTTTTAAGGATTTTTCCGTGGGGAGGGGGTATTTTTTGAAAAGGGATCTTAGATAATATATTAGAGGGGGATAGCAATGGCCGACGGCCACGGTGTATGGCCGACATACTCCCCCAGAAAATGTTTTAAATTTGAACCTTTCAAATACCATTTCCTGCTTTATGAGCATCTAAATTTGCTCTAAAATTTATGCTAATTATACTTGTATTTGAAATAAAAGATGGAAAAAATGCAGAAAAAATAAAAGAAATATTAAAGGTGATCTAAAGTCCGATCTGCGCATGTGCACAAATCAGCCCACTTTTTATGATACAAACAGGTTAACTATGTTTTGAGTTCTTGAAAAGCCTGATTGTTGTTTCTTGATCATTTATTATACTCTAGAAGCTTGAAAATATAAATAGTTGTCGAATAAAGCTCAATATTTTGGACACAAAAATGTAAACAAAGACTTTGTTTACATACGGACTGTAGATCACCTTTAACAATAATTTATCCAATACTTATTATTAAAGGAGGATAGCAATGGCCGTGGGTCACGTGTGTGGCCGACATACCGCGAATGAATAGGGGGGTCTGGAGGCATTAACTCCCCAGAGAATTTTTGAAATTTCAAGCCCAAAAATATATTTTCCTATTGTTTGAAGGCATGACGCGGAACGTCATGCTTCTGTGAGCATCAGTATAGAATATAAAAGGAAGTGATTATGATAGAATAATCCTTCAAGTTCTCGACAACTACAACCTACACTTGACTGTACTGCAGAATACGTTTTTCTTAGTCATTACTTCGAAGGCTATTGCTATCTATTGGAGAAATGTCGACTTCCAACCCAAGTGCAGATGGTCAATCTGAAGTTGGGCAAGTCTTTGAACAATTCCAAAGTTATATTGATACACGATTAAGCAATCTCGAGAATTCTTTACAATCGGCGAACCATGATCAACCTGAAACGAACGACATTCAAGCGTCGAATAAGAAATTGCAGCGAGAGGCAGACGCCTTAAAGTTTAAGTATAAGGCGAACGCCAAACAGTTTATCTATAATGCTAAAGTCGACGATTTGGTTGGTTCCACAGTAGAACATCTCGAGAAAGAAAATCCTAGTTGTGAGCAGGCGTTGGAATCCGCTAAAAAAGCTTTGGTATTGATACAGAAGCGCCAGCCAAGATGACTAAATTGGCCGATAAAAGCGATGCGGGTTGGCTGGTCGTCGAGGAATATGAAAGCGATGAATTGGCTGAAGATTCGGAAGACGGCAAGAAAATCAGAAAGTAATTGTGTACAGGTCGCTTGCTTTCTTTGTAATTTCAAATAGGCTTGTTTGCCAAGACAAGCCTAGCCTATAATAACAAAACTAGTTTGGTTATTGTATTGTGTACAGAGGAATGGCGAATTAATAGGAAAATGCTTTTCATTCGGAGGAATAGCATGAGGGAGAATGAAAATGCCATTTCCTGCCGTCTGAGCATCTAATTTTTCTAGAATTTATCCTAATTATACTTCTATTTGAAATAAAAGAAGGAAAAAACACACAAAGAATTTAAAAAATATTAACAATAATTTATCATTACTTAGTGTTAGAAACACGTAGGATGCGCACGCGGTGACACAGTCCTTTAAATCGATTTTGTTAAACAAGGACAAAGGATAAAGCCTAAAACGTACGTTCCGTTTATCAATTTCGAGGGAGGTGGTTCGTGCCGAAGGCACGGAAAATTTTTTAATTTGAATCCCGGAAATGGCATTTGCAGCATTCTGAGACACGCATAATCAGAAAACCCAGAATTCCAGGCGCCAGAGTATGCCTGTTCGCAGGTAGTGCTGTGAATAATATAGTTAATTAACAACAAAAATCATGACCAAAGAGATCAAAAACGGACAAAATTGTATTTTAAAATACTTAAAATGTAGCAAAATTGAGAATCGACTCGCATTACCTCAATCCCATTCCCATTTTGAGGACTTCATTTCCCATTCCCAGTGGCCAAATCCCAGTCCCAGTAACCCAAATCCCATTTTCCCAGTCTAAAAATAGATCAATCCCAGTTCCCATTTTACCCCTTCAGGGCCCTCTTTCTGTTACTTTGGCGTCTCCCCTGCTGCTTTCGCCGTTTTCCTTTGGTGTACTTACTTCTTTGGCATTACTTTCACTCACTTTGCTTCCAAAGTTATGACAATATTTTGCGTTGGACACGCGTGATTTACCACAGTTCGCACAAAACATGACTGCCCTTCGACTGACACAGAACCACAGACAACAGAAGTTACAGAACACGTGCGAGAACGAGCACACAGCGCATGCGCAGGGCGCCAAGGCCAGTTCATAAAATTCCAAAGTTATATTCCAAAGGCATGCATAAAGTTCCGAAGGTTTTACGTAAAATTCTGAAGGCCCTGTATAATATTCTGAAGGCCCTTCCATAAAATTCTGAAGACCTTGCATAAAATTCTGAAGGCTCTTGTATAAAATTCTGAAGGCCCTACATAAAACTCCGAAGGCCCTGCATAAAATTCTGAAGGCCTTAAATAAAATTCTGAAGGTTGAATTTTTAAATTTATAGCATGTCCCCTATGGGCCACCGTAAATTTCCGTGAGGACAAATGCTTTAAGGTCTTCCAAAGTTCCTGACCATTTCAATTTACTTTTATTAAGGCCAAAATAGCCGTACAATACGTTGCTAACTGTTGTAGAATGTAATTGAGAGGAGCACAAAAACACACGTCTGTACGAGGAACCCCAAGGTAAGAAAAACACGAGAAAAAACGCGAGAAAAAATTTCAGACGCGAGAAAAAAAGTTAGACGCGAGAAAAAATTTCAGACACGAGAAAAAAAGTTAGACGCGAGAAAAAATTTCAGACACGAGAAAAAATTTCAGACGCGAGAAAAATTTTCAGACGCGAGACAAAATTTCCGACGCGAGAAAAATTTTCAGACGCGAGAAAAAATTTCAGAAGCGAGAAACTAAATTTCATACGCGAGAAAAAAAGTTAGACGCGAGAAAAAATTTCAGACACGAGAAAAAAAGTTAGACGCGAGAAAAAATTTCAGACGCGAGAGAAATTTTCAGACGCGAGAAAAAAAGTCAGTTAGACGCGAGAAAAAATTTCAGACGCGAGAAAAAAAGTCAGACGCGAGAAAAATTTTCAGACGCGAGAAAAAAAGTTAGACGCGAGAAAAAATTTCAGACGCGAGAAAAAAAGTTAGACGCGAGAAACTAAATTTCATACGCGAGAAAAAATTTCAGACGCGAGAAAAAAAGTCAGACGCGAGAAAAATTTTCAGACACAAGAAAAAAGGTTAGACGCGAGAAAAAGTTCAGACGCGAGAAAAAAAGTGAGACGCGAGAAACTAAATTTCATACGCGAGAAAAAATTTCATACGCGAGAAAAAATTTCAGACGCGAGAAAAAAAGTTAGACGCGAGAAAAAATTTCAGACACGAGAAATAAAGTTAGACGCGAGAAAAAATTTCAGACGCGAGAAAAAAAGTTAGACGCGAGAAAAAGGTCGAGAAATATGAAATTCAAGCGCAATATTTCAAGGTAGGTAGGTAATACTTTATTTAAAATTAACAGAAAGAACAACACGCTAGCCCCATCAACTCTAGGCTGGTTTCCATGGGGGGCGTGTTTAGATCTTAAAAATCATTAAAAGGAAAATTTAAACTAAATATTAGTACACACATACTGTACACGTTACTATATACAAATAATTAGGAAGCATGTCGCTGTCCAACAATTGATTTAAACGAATGAGGCGACTCGGCCAATTTTGCTTCGTTTGGGAGTTGATTCCAGAGCATAGCGCCGCTATATTTAAAACTTTTTTTAAGAAATTCTCGTTTCGGTTTAGGAATTGTTAGATCAGTTGCTGTGTTTCGAAGATGATAATTAGTTTGATCTATTTCTCTTCTCACGAATGACCCCGGAGACCTGGCGCAGTGTGGTCGTTAAGTATTTTATACATTAATACTGACTTGGCACCAGACCGCCTATTTTCAAGTGTATCCCAAGAAAGCATGTTGAGAAGATCAGCTGAGCGAGTATCATAATTAGCACCCGTTAGGACTCTTGATGCACGAGACTGAAATCTTTGCAACTTGTCTCTTAGCAACTTACCACAAGTGTCCCAAAGGGGGGAACAATAATCAAAGTAGGGCTGCACAAGACTTTTATAAATCGATTCTAAGGTATGCATTGGAACAAAGGGCTTTATACGTTTCATAGCGCCAATAGCAGCGCTCGCCTTCTTGCATATCATTTCAATGTGACTATCCCAATTAAGGGTTTCATCTAGTTTTACTCCTAGGCACATTTGTGTAGCAATTCGTGATATGGGTTTTGCATTAGCCACAACGGGTTCCTCACACATTATATTATTAAGATTATACGGGGAGCCAATAAACATCATTTTACATTTTGATGGATGCATCTGCAGCCTATTTTCTTTAAGCCAGTTACAGACATGGGCAAGATCTGAATTTAAATTTACAACAAGTTCATTTGCATCGTAGGAAGATGAAAAGATTTGAGTATCATCCGCGTACATGCATGGATTAGTTGATTTCAAACAATCGGGCAAATCATTAATATATAATAGGAACAGCAGTGGTCCCAGTATAGATCCCTGGGGCACTTCACAGGTGATAATTTTATTACTAGATAATTCTCCATTAACATTACATTGCTGTTCTCTATTTGTTAAATATGACTCAAACCATTTTAATTCTACGCCAAAAATTCCAAAGTGTTTGTAAGCCAAATACGGTTATCGTAAAATGAACCATTTAAACTCGAATTAAAACGCTGATATATTCACTAAAACATATTGTTTCTTTTTAAATTTTTGGCTCTCGATCAAAACGTGGACAAATGATCAAACAATTGACAATGTCGAGAATTAAAGAGTTAACAATTAAGTTCACATATCTACAAATATTACATGTTACTTTTAAAATACCGAGGTTGCATTTGGTTTTACAACGCATCAGCCGTATTGATTAACTCCAATTCAGACTTGATAAAATGTTAGCGATTAATAATTATTAAGACATGCAAAGTTAGAAACACCTTAAAAATGTACACAAAACAACGTACGTAGAAAAGGTAAGTTAATTCGCACAAATTTTCATTTGAATTGCATTGCACCGGAAATGACGAAACTGCCGGGTGTGACGTCCATACTTGTGTGACGTAGTGCTCAGTGTGACATAGTGGCTCCCGCATATACGCGGTAGTCACAAAAAGTTCAAAATAAATATTTCTACTCGAACTTTCTACATGAAAGCGCCTTGAATACCAGGAGTATTTTACTCCTATTTACTTGGAGGCGAATAAGCGTTTTAATGACCATTTGTAAATATGCATAATTAACCCATATTCTATCTTTTAAATAATGTCTATTCTTGTAAATAATGTATATTCTTGTAAATCACGCAATTCAGCTGTCCAGCTGCAAGGTGAATTTTAAATACACTATTTATCTATCTAAATATAATGAAAGGTTTACAAGATATTCAAGTTTTTTTCTCGATGTAAAATACAGAATGTTTGGCCAAGCAGTGAGTAAGTATATGATTGTTTGGGTCTGTGTAATGTTTTGGCTGCATGTGACCCCCGTTCAAAATGTTATTTTGTGAGGATTTCAATTCCATTAAGATTTTTACATTAGAAACAATTGAATAGAAAAATAGAAAATTTTCGACAAACGATTTTAACTAAACATGTCTGCATAATTATCCTGAGATTCCCTGGATTTCGGTCATATAGGTAACTGCATGAAGATGATATATAATATTTATTCAGGCGTAAGTCCGGTTTCTTTCTTTGGAAAAAATTAGCTTCATAATATCTATATCTGGCCATGCCACTTATATGGCCATATCTATAATATTGTGCATCGATCAGTCATACATAAAAAGTTTCGGAATACCATGCACAGAGTTTTGTATCCAATTTAGAATATAGTTCATGTAATATACACATTGCCTGTATACAGCATCTGCATGAGGTTTAATTAATTATGCTGCATGACAACAATAAAACGTCATTTAACGGTTTTCAGCCAATAAAGCAACCATTTGCAATTTATATACACATACAATTGATATTTAAACTTCAAACTGAACTTCAATACTAGATAGATATACAGAGATAGAGAAATGCCTACTAACTGCCCAACGAAGGGTCTTCGCTCGAAACGTCGAATTTATATATATATATATATATATATATATATATATATATATATATATATATATATATATATATATATATATATATATATATATATATATATATAGTATGTTTTCTATTTCTTAAATAGGGAACTTAAACATTAAGTTAAACCTATTCCAAATATATTTTCAAACTATTCAAATGATGAAAGTTATTGTTGTTTTTTAAGCGTTTATTAGCGAGTGGGAAACTCCAACATGGCCGCCATCTATTCAAATGGGTGTAACCGCTGGAATATTCTTGGCTTCAATTTTACTAAAAGAGATCCGCTATCTATAGTGTATATAAGATATCTATGGTGTGGATGCGCATCAAGCCTATACTCAGAAAAGTTCTGAGCCCTATAAAACGGGAATTGAACCACGTAACCTTCTGATAACCGGACAGACGCTCTAACCATTGAGCTATATAAGGCATCAGATGGTGAGGCAAGGTTACGTTATTTACTAGTTCACTGTGTTATATGTGTACTGTTAACTGCAAGTCTCAACATATCTTATTGATGATATTAAGCACTGTATTTCTGTATATGTGTGTTTTTGTAGCAGCTTGTAAAATATGTGATTTGGTGTGGATGCGTATCAAAGAAAAATTCTGGGCCCTAACGGGAATTGAACCACGTAACCTTCTGATAACCGGACAGACGCTCTAACCATTGAGCTATAAGGCATCAGATGGTGAGCCAAGGTTATGTTATTTACTAGTTCTGTGTGTTACATGTGTACTGCTAACTGCAAGTCTTGACATGTTTTGCTGATGTTATTATTAAGAACTGCATTTTTGTATATGTGTACACATATATGTATGTGTACACATATGTTTCTGTATATGTGTACACATATACAGAAATGTAGTTCTTAATAATAACATCAACAAGGCATATCGAGGCTTGCAGTTAGCAGTACACATGTAACACACAGAACTAGTAAATAACGTTAACCTTGGCTCACCATCTGATGCCTTATAGCTCGATTAATAGTTAGAGTATAAATAGTTATATATATGTATGTATATATATATAAGTATGTATGTTTTAGGTAGATAGGGATCAAAGAAAGGTTGATATTATTGGCACAACCTACACCGGCACAGACCGTTCAAGCTTTGCAATTACTAACTTACTTCTGATTCTTAATTTCTATACTTGTTGTCACCGATGATTAATATTGTATTAAATTGTAGTATAATAATGAATATGGTAGGTAATAAACAAATAAACAATACTGAGACTTTCCGCAATATTGATAATTAATTTGGTTTTAGGGGTAAAGTCATACCTGGCAAGTGACAATAATCTTTGCTAAAGTTGAAAGCAAGTGCTTTTGAAATAGTTCTCTTCTCAGCACAAAACAATTACTGGCATCTGATTATACACGGGTAATGTTTTTATACCCTATGGCTGCGACTGATTTACGAACATAAACACTTTATTTTTTGTGTGATGCACTGAGCCAACAATTAATGACCAGTCTAACGTACATTACAAATGGTCTCATGATGTAAATATTAGATAGAGACCTTAATTAAGATTGATGTATGTAAAAATAGAGACCGTAAGATTAAAAAAAATATTAATTGACGTTTAGGTCACACAGTCTCTATCATACGTGACGCTGTATGGCTCCAGTGAAGGGAAAGGTATTAAATGCAATTATTATTTATTTAAAAAATTCCTTGTTTCTGATTGGCTAACAACCAACTGTGAAATTGTCATATCGACTCGATGGCTAACCAAATATGGATTTTTCACATTCATATTAGCAAAATGACGTCAAAGAGTCAATATGAAAAAAATTTGGACGCGTTTGCGCCATATTACTATGACGACGAGAATCATATCCCAGATGATAGATTATACCAGATGAATCACTCTATATTTATCCCTATATGATTTTCGTGTCCGCGATTTTCGCGAGGCTATCACGCCAGATGAAACGTGCGACACTTACTGCCAAAATGGCGCTTACTGCCAAAATGCTTGTTAAACGCCGTGTTTGCTCACGTTTCATGGCGTGGATTACATGCACTTACTGCCAAAATGGCGGCCAACGCGTGTTCATAAAAAATCGCGGACACAATTTTGGCCGAGTGATTTATCTGGTATTATCTATCATCTGTGATCATATTGACTCGCTGACGCCATTGATATGACGACGACGGCTGTCGAAAGACTAAGGTATTGTTTTTTTCTTAATACAAATAAAATACAAATGGCTTCTTCCACTGAAATGTTCGCCAAGGAAGATAAAGATTCGTTAAATACAAAAAGATCAACAAAAGCTTCTAGAAAAGGTAAGAACACTTTTCCTAATTCTTGTTTGGCTGATTAACGCGGGCGACCAAATGTTGAAATGGATGACCGTTTGTTTTGAATTTTTTAAATAAATAATTATTCGGTTTTCGCACAATATGAAGAATTATCAAGCCCTCAGTTTGCCGTTATCGGCCTCAGCCTTCGGCTTCGGTTGATAACGGCAATCAGTCTTCATATCGTGTTCAACCTCATTCAATAATTGTTAAATATTATGTCTCAAATTCAAATTGTTCAATAAAAAAAGCTTTTGTATAACGCGACGCTGTTATTTTTTGCGGTATTTCAATCAAATCCATGATATATTATGCACTGCATCAGATCTGCCGTGGTATACAATAGCATCCCACTCGCGTGGACTTCACGCACTTGGCAAATGAAAAATAAGGCGAAACAACAACAAACCCATGAAGATTTGGGGTAATGGCTTTATATCCTTTGGTTGCCACTGATGTACGAATCTTTAATCTTTAAAATTCTTTAAGCACGGTAGCCATTCAGCATGCCACGCTGATTTTCAATGGGCCGTGCACACTATACAACATATATTAACCTAATTCTATAAAACAAAATAGTGAAGCCTACATACCGGACAGCTTCACACTATAATATATACTAATACATTAAACAACGAATTATTCTAATTATAGTAAAAAAACTACTGATATTAACCCAAGGAGACTTAATCGGTTCTGTAGTGATTGATGAGCATAGATTTAGCAACATTTAGTGCGATATTGTCGACGTTTTGTCTAATGTTATCCGGGAGATTGTTCCAAGATTTTGCCGCTCTATATGAGAAACTTTTTTGAGAAAATTTGTGTTAGGTTTCTCAAGGGAAAGTTGGCAAAAGTTACTTTTCAAGTTGTACGTTTCGTTTGAACAGAAATTAAACATTTCTGTGAGATAATTCGGAGAATTAGCAGTAACTGCTTTTAATTAAAAGTAGCCTAACAATATTTTCTCGAATAGATAGACTTTTATGGATTGGCATCCAATCAAGTTATCGAAATATTTCATTGGACCGTACATCGTATGAAGCGCCGGTTATCACACGTGCCGCTTTCTTTTAAAGTTTAGATAGCTTTGTAAGTTTACTTTTGTAGCCATCGTTCCAAACAGTGGAACAGTAATAGAAATTCGGAATTACAATTGCATTATACATTTTATTAAGGATATGTTCAGGCACAAACGATTTAGCTCTCCTTAATAAAGCAATATTGTTTGAAATCTTTTTATTTTGTTCGTCGATATGCTTGTTCCAAGTTAGATGTTCATTTAAAATTACACCAAGCGTCTTTTTATTGGTTACACGCTTAGTAACTTGATTACCAAGTTTAATTATTGGGCCCTGCTCAAATGACGGGACTCGCTGGCGTGAACCTATTATCATAAATTCAGTTTTCCAGTTCGTTTAGTGTAAGTTTATTTGCAATGAGCTATTCATTAACATTCAAAAGATCATGGTTAAGTTTTGATTCAATTTCATCTACGGTTGGAGCACTGATGGAAAGAGTTGTATCGTCTGCAGATAATCTAGCCTTATAGTAGATTGGAGACATTTGGGCAAGTCGTCAATATATAAGAGAAACAAATACGGCCCAAAGTTGGATCCCGTGGAACTCCACACTTAAGTTCGTTTACATCTGATTGCTTATATTACCATTAATAGAGCAAATCTGTTTCCTGTTACTAAAATAAGATCTAAACCATTTCAGACTAGTTCCTCTGATACCGTAAAGCTCTAATTTGGAAAGTAGTATGTTATGATTGACTGAGTCAAACGCCTTTTTAAAATCCAGAAACAAAACCCGGTTCAATAAACCATTATCCATATTATGAAGCCAATCGTTTGCTAAATCAGGTAAAGCGGTTTCCGTGGAGTGGTGCTCTCGGAAACCTAACTGATTTTTAGTTATTATATTGTTATTCGTGTAGGTTTTAAGTTGATTACATACTAATTTCTCAAACAGTTTGGTTATGTTGGAAATCAAAGAAATTGGTCTATAATTGCCGCACTCAGTTTTTACACCATCCTTAAAGATTGGTGATACTTTAGCCAATTTCCAGTCATCAGGGTAAATTCCTGTTTGTAAGGATAGATTAAAAATGCTACCCAATGAATCTAATATTATATCCCCAGCAGCTTTCAACAGTTTAATACTTATACCATCGATTCCTGGTGATTTTTTAGTCTTAATTTGAGCAAGAGTGTCGGACAGTTCAGAGGCATTGATGTTTTTGAAGCAAAAATCATTTTTAATAGGAGATACAAGTCGCAAGGGATCGGCGCCATTCTCGGTGATATTTTCAGCGAGTTTAGACCCAATTGTAGCAAAATAGTCATTGAAACAAGCCGCAATATTTTGATCTCCCGTAATAACACGATTATCCATTTTTAACTGATTTACTTCTGTAGTTTTAGATTTCTTGTTTAATAAGCTATTTATTGTCTGCCAGCTATCGTAGCTGTTCTTAGTGTTTCCAAGTTTTGTTTTGAAATACTCTGCTTTTGTGGATTTGATAAGGTTATTAACATAATTTTTATGCCTTTTGTAAGCCATATCGTAATATGCAGATTTAAGTTTAACTGCTTGCTTCTTAAGGAAGTCCCTATGGTAACATTGTTTTTTGATATGCTCAGTAAGCCATGGTTTGTAATCACTTTTTACACGACGTTGTCGAGTAGGCGCGTGTTTCTCAGCAACATGCAAAAATCTATTTTTCCAATCATGCCACATGGTGTTTGGGTCATCCGTAGTAATATTAGTTGCAAAGATATTTCTTAAATCCGTTCTAAATTCATTAACTCTAAATTTTTTGAATTGCCGACTAAATATAATTTTAGGTACACTGACTTTACGGCATATGTAAACTAAGTTATGATCACTGATGCCCAGTTCAACAACCCCCGCTTCTACTGTCTTATTAGATAGCTTAAGATCTACGACGTCGACGTTAGCCAGGACGCCAGGGCTAAGCAGAGGACTGGTACTACATTAGGACGACATCCTAGTCCCAGTCCTCTGCATAGCCCTGACGTCCTAGCTGACGTCGACATCGTAGATCTTAAGCTATCTATTGTCTTCAATCGAACTGATAATGACATCGATTAATGTTTGAGAGTTAAAAGTTACTCCACAGGGTGTATAAAAAAAACTGAACCCTTTCAAATTCAAATTAGCTATAACGTATTGTAGTAATTTGACAGTTCTAATTGCCTTGAAATAATGGTTGGGTAAGAACACAAGGAATACTGTATTTCTTTTAAATTTTCTAATTTTTATTTCTTTGAGTTTTGTCCCATAAGTACAAGACCTAGTGTTCTTATCCATCCATTAATTTAAAGCAATTAGAGCTGTCAAATTACTACAATACGTTATAGCTAATTTGAATTTGAAAGGGTTCAGTTTTTTTATACACACTGTAGTAGGACTTTGAATGTAAACACTTTTGCGTGACGCATTGACCCAACAATGACCAATCTGACGTACATTGCAAAATTAATGGTCTCATATTGCATGATGTAAATATTAGATAGAGACCTTAAGATTGACGTAAAAGTACAGACCTTAAGATTGACGTTTTACGTCACACAGGCTCTATCGTACGTGATACTGGCTCAAGTGAAGGGAATTTAAAGGTATAGTGAATGCAAATATTATATCTCAAATTCAAGGGTCTCTCTCAATTCAAGTGGACAGGTTCTCTCATTGACTGGACCGGCCCTCCGGCTCTCATATATGTCCAGTATAGGCATCTGTTATCGGATCGTTACAATCCGTAACTTTGAATACAGATAGTCGTGCGGCATATGCGTTAACCCTCCCTTTTACATCAGACATTAACATGATTACAACTATCCATCGTTCTTTAAGAAACACTATATTAACTAGCCTAAAGATATATTTTAAATTTATTACATCATGCAGACATTAACATATGATTACAACTATCCCTCGTTCTTTAAGAAACACTTTTTAATAACTAAACATATAGAAACACTATATTAACTAAACATATATTTTTATTACATAAACTGAACTTGTATAATTAGTCCTAATTTCATTTGGCAGTTTAGTGTGTGACAATGGCATATCTCTAATTTGTTTTTTTTCAGGCTCTTGCTGATATACTATAGTTTAAATTGTATCCGTGGTTTTCGGTATCAGCGCCTTATTTTTTTGGCCTAAAATTCTTCTGTCCGCATCATGCAATTTTATTTCAATTAATATATTTGCGCACGCAAATATAGCCTCACCAGGGACGTAGCGTGACCTTTTTTGCGTGTAACATCTAAGTTTTACCGACGACCACGTGGCACTTGAAGCGAAAGAATCTGTTTTATCCAATGGCCTCGTTTTCATGTCAACTACTTACTCATGTTTTGTGCTTAGTAGGGTTGAAAATTACTTTGTTACTGAGCCTAAGAACAGCAAGAAACAAATTCGTCCAGGAAAACATGGGAATATAATCTTTATCTGCCCCTGATATGCTTTTAAAATAAGTTAACGTGGAAACGAGGGCAAATGATGTTGTGTGAAAGAGAATAATCGGTAAGGTCTATTAAGAATAAAAAGACTAAAGGCGAGCATTATCGTGGATCAGTACATGCTGCATGCATTATCCCATAGTTGCCAACTTTGGCGAAAAACATGCGTGAGATTTTGTTTTGGGGGACCCACGTCATGTGGCGCCACCATGGTTGGCGGGGAGCGGAAAAGGTTTGAAAATATTGAGTCTCTAGATCGTTGGAAATGGCATTTTCAGAGTCTTCTGTACCTTATACTGTTATACACACAAGTTTTGGTAGCTTTTATTTATATTAAACAAAACCATATTGTTGAATACCAACGAGGTTGCATGTAGCGATGTTTTGATTATCTATTTCAGAAGGAAAAAGTTTTATGTAATTTGACGCAAATGAACTTAATTAATGAAGTCACTCGTAATAGTTAAAATGTGCAGCAAAGCCAACATATTTAAGAACCAGTTGTGTTATTTTCGAAATCAGTGAGATATTAACAAGCTGTGAGTGTGAGCTCACCGTGAGGTTTTAGTAGAATCCGTGACCGCCCTTTATACGCTATAGGCAGCCTATAGCTGTTATGGTATATGTTATATGTAGAGCAATTGACAAATAAATATTTCGGCGCGCGTTTAATTTAATGACACTTACAGTGACTTTAGTCTGCCGTCTAGAAATAACGTAAAACCAGAAACGCAGCAAACGCTTTATTAATTGGAATTATTGTTGTCTTTGTTACTTCGCGATAAGTCATTTTACTCAATGACATTTATCTTGTTGTTTATTGTAATAAACAGACTTGAAAAATTGGCAAAACATTTTCTGAGCACCGCGTGTCAATAATAAATATATAAATATAATCTTTAATTCTTTGGCGTACTGATTGTATCAAGGTCAAAAGTTCGCGCACAGTTGAACATGTCCAATCAGAACCGACTGTTTTCGCAGCTCTTGCAAGTGTAATACGATAGGAAATTAGGGGCTTCAATGTTTATGCGCAGATATTTAATATAAGTGATTACTGAAGAATTACGTACATTTTGCATAACTTTATTGGAGAACAAGGCACAACATTCATTTAGTTTTATTGATTATTAAAAGCCATTTACCGAGGAGCAAAATTCCACTTTAACCGATTTGTTTTTCCGACCGCTGTCATGGCTCTTGCCATTACCGAGTAACTTCGCGTTTTACCGACTACCTCACTAAAACTGTACGGTGGCCCGTTAGGGACACGCTTGTTCCGTAGAAAATCACATTCGTTCTGTCTACTTGAAGTAGTTTTCCTTAATAACAGAGCATTTCTGTATAAATGTGCGGCGTTTCCGTAGAAAATTCAGACGACTTCCGCAGAAATATAGACGCTTTCCGTACAAATGTAGACTTCTTCCGTACAAATGTAGACGCCTTCCATGCAGGAAATGTTATACATGCCTTCCATACAAATGTAGACGCCTTCCGTAGAAATTTTATACATGCCTTCCATACAAATGTAGACGCCTTCCGTAGAAATTTTATGCATGCCTTCCATACAAATGTAGACGCCTTCCGTAGAAATCTAAAACTAATGCGCGCGCATAGTCCGGTAACTATGGTAACTTCAGTTGCTATATTATGCAAAATGGCGGCATGTAAACAGTGTACGCAAGAATAGACAACTCCATTATAGACTAATTTTAAAACTAGGCAAGGAGATGCAAATAAATCACCACAGCTAGAAAGAGCAAACTAAAATTAGTAAAATTACAAAATTTGGTTGCGAAATGTTGTAAAATAGGAAAATATAGCCTTGCAAAATTTGAAAATTTTGTCCCCGAGCCGGCGGCGCGAAGCGCCGTGCGAGGGTACTAATTTCCCCCGGCTATTTACACCCGGGGAAACGAAAGCATTAGGGAAGTCTAAAGTTCATCAATGAGCGCGGGCGTCGGTCACCAACGATGGGTGGTCATCATCACTGATCTCAAAAATATGGCGGACTGTCATGAATAACGGACACTGATTGGTCCAATTTAAAGTTTGCATTATAACGACTGCATGACGACAGCGAAATAGCAAACATTTCTTGATTTGATGAGTTGATGATTGATAAATTTCTTGCAAATATTCTTCATTTTTGCTCGTATTTCTGCAAGATTTTGTAAATTTCAAGAAAGAAAGGGCGAAAGAATCAGCTAAAAGAAGGGAGCCGACGTTAACGAAGGCAAGTTTGTTTTAAATATTGATTTTATAATGGCTTTTAAACCCGACGACCTTTGCGTATATGAAAAAACTAAACAAGACAGCATATAATTTCAGTGTATCTTTAATATTGATTCCCTTTTTTATTATATTGAATTTTTTAAATAAAAAATAAAGCAAAGTTATTTGCAAGAGAGAATTTGAAATCATTTTATTGCAAACTCAAAGTTTATCGATAAAGCCATTT